TCCTGTTGGGCTTAGGCTTTATTTGCTGTTCTTTCTCCAGCTCCTTTAGGTATAGGGTTAGGTTGTGTATTTGAGACCTTTCTTGTTTCTTGAGAAAGGCTTGTATTGCTATATACTTTCCTCTTAGGACTGCCTTTGCTGCATCCCAAAGATTTTGAACAGTTGTGTTTTCACTTTCATTTGTTTCCACGAATTTTTTTAATTCTTCTTTAATTTCCTGGTTGGCCATTCATTCTTTAGTAGGATGCTCTTTAATCTCCATGTATTTGAGTTCTTTCCAGCTTTCCTCTTGTGATTGAGTTCTACTTTCAAAGCATTGTGGTCCAAAAATATGCAGGGAATGATCCCAATCTTTTGGTACCGGTTGAGACCTGACTTGTGACCTAGGATGTGATCTATTCCAGAGGATGTTCCATGGGCACTCGAGAAGAATGTGTATTCTGTTGCTTTGGGATGGAATGTTCTGAATATATCTGTGAAGTCCATCTGGTCCAGTGTGTCATTTAAAGTCTTTATTTCTTTGTTGCTCTTTTGCTTAGATGATCTGTCCATTTCAGTGAGGGGGGTGTTAAAGTCCCCTACTATTATTGTATTATTGTTGATGTGTTTCTTTGATTTTGTTATCAATTGGCTTATATAGTTGGCTGCTCCCGTTTTAGGGGCATAGATATTTACAATTGTTAGATCTTTTTGTTGGATAGACCCTTTAAGTAGGATATAGTGTCCTTCCTCATCTCTTATTACAGTCTTTGGTTTAAAATCTAATTTGTCTGATATAAGGATTGCCACCCCAGCTTTCTTTTGGTGTCCATTAGTATGGTAAATGGTTTTCCACCACCTCACTTTCAATCTGGGGGTGTCTTTGAGTCTAAAATGAGTCTCTTGCAGACAGCATATCAATGGGTCTTGTTTTTTTTATCCAGTCTGATACCCTGTGTCTTTTGATTGGGGCATTTAGCCCATTTACATTCAGGGCCACTATTGAAAGATATCAATTTAGTGCCATTGTATTGCCTGTAAGGTGACTGTTACTGTATATTGTCTCTGTTCCTTTCTGGTCTGTGTTACTTTTAGGTTTTCTCTTTGCTTAAAGTACCCCTTTCAATATTTCTTGTAGATCTGGTTTGGTGTTCGCAAATTCCTTTAGTTTTTGTTTGTCCTGGAAGCTTTTTATCTCTCCTTCTATTTTCAATGACAGCCTAGCTGGATATAGTATTCTTGGCTGCATATTTTTCTCATTTAGTGCTCTGAATTATGCCAGTCCTTTCTGGCCTGCCAGGTCTCTGTGGATAGGTCTGCTGCCAATCTAATGTTCCTACTGTTGTAGGTTACAGACCACTTGCCCAAGCTGCTTTCAGGATTTTCTCTTTGTCTCTGAGACTTGTGAGTTTTACTATTAGATGTCAGGGTGTTGACCTATTTTTATTGATTTTGAGGGGGATTCTCTGTGCCTCCTGGATTTTGATGCCTGTTTCCTTCCCCAAATTAGGGAAGTGCTCTGCTATAATTCGCTCCAATAAACCTTCTGCCTCCCTCTCTCTTTCTTCTTCTTCTGGGATCCCAATTATTCTAATGTTGTTTCATTTTGTGGTTTCACTTATCTCTCAAATTCTCCCCTCGTGATCCAGTAGTTGTTTATCTCTCTTTTTCTCAGCTTCTTTATTCTCCATCATTTGGTCTTCTATATCACTAATTCTCTCTTCTGCCTCATTCATCCTAGCAGTTAGAGCCTCCATTTCTTATTGCACCTCATTAATAGCCTTTTTGATTTCGACTTGGTTAGATTTTAGTTCTTTTATTTCTCCAGAAAAGGATTCTCTAGTACCTTATATGCTTTTTTCAAGCCCAGCTAGTATCTTTATAATCGTCGTTCTGAACTCTAGTTCCGACATCTTACTAATGTCTGTATTGATTAGGTCCCTGACAGTCGGTACTGCCTCTTGTTCTTTTTTTTTGAGGTGAGTTTTTCTGTCTTGTCATTTTGTCCAGAGGAGAATAGATGAATGAGAGAACAAAACACTAAAAAAATGCTAAAGGGTAACACAACCCCAGAAAATATACAATAAACAAATCACAAGAGACTTGAAACCGGGGGGGAGGGGGGAGTGGAAGGAAGGGGGAAAAGAATATGATCAGGCTGGTGAATAGAACAGAGCCACACACTAGATTGTGTGTGTATTTTTGTCTCTTAGAAGAAATTGCCTCCTTTGGGGTGCCTGGGTGGCTCAGTTGTTAAGCGTCTGCCTTCGGCTCAGGTCATGATCCCAGGGTCCTGGGATCGAGCCCCACATCAGACTTCCTGCTCAGTGGGAAGTTTGCTTCTCTCTCTCCCACTCCCCCTGCTTGTGTTCCCTCTCTCACTGTGTCTCTCTCTGTCAAATAAACAAATAAAATCTTAAAAAAAAAAAAAAAGAAGAAATTGCCTCCCAAAATTTTAAAAGAAAGAAAAACTTATATATACACAAAAGTAAGGTTAAATACTATGAAGGGATAGAATATGCCTGTAAAGATGAGAATTTAAAAAGATTTTTAAAAAGGAATTGATAAGAAGTTGGTTGAAAAAAGAATGAAAAAATTTTAAAAAAGAGAGAATGTTATCAGGCAGGTGACTAGAACAACGGCATACACTAGATTTAGGGTATATTTTGGTCTGTTAGAAGAAACTGTATCCCAAAATTTTAAAGAAAGAAAAAATTATATATATACAAATAATAAGGTTAAATACAATGAAGAGATAGAATATGACTGTAAAAATGAAAAATTAAAAGAAAAAAAAATTTTTTTTAAAGATTTTTATTCAATTATTTGACAGAGAGAGAGAGACAGCGAGAGAGGGAACACAAGCAGGATGAGTAAGAGAGGGAGTGGCAGGCTTCCCGCAGAGCAGGGAGCCTGATGCGGGGCTCGATCCCAGGACCCTGGGATCATGACCCGAGCCGAAGGCAGACATTTAATGACTGAGCCACCAAGGCGCCCCTAAAAAAAATTTTTAAAAAGGAATTGATAAGATGCTGGTTGAAAAAGGAAAGAAGAAAAATTCAACTAAAAAAATAGAAAAAGAAAAAAATAAAGAAAATTTAAAAAATTAACTTTGAAAGACTAAGGAATCATGGGGAAAAAGCCATGAATTCTATGTGTGTATTCCCCTAGTGCTGGCATTCTGCCGTTCTCCTTGATTGGTAAACTTGGTCTTGGCAGACTGTTCTTGCTGATCTTCTGGGGGAGGGGCCTGTTGCTGTGATTCTCAAATGTCCTTGCTGGAGGCAGAATTGCCCCACCCTTGCCCGTCGGGGCTAAGTAATCTGCTCGGGTTTGGTCTTGGGAGCTTTTGTTCCCTGAAAGCTTTCTGTACAGCTTTGGAGGCCGAGAGTGAAAATGACAGCCTCCCAATCTCTGCTCCGGAGCTGGGATCTTGGGGCCCCACTCCTCAGTGACCCCCAGAGAAAAGCAGTCAATCACTCCCGTCTTCCTGGTCTCCACCACACTGCCTGTGCCAGGGATCACAGTTTTTGGCAACCCTGAGCTGAGAGCCCATTCCTGGGCTCCGTCTCTGCAGCCAGCTTCCCTGCTCAAAAACCTGGGAGCTCTGCCGCACTCAGGCACTCCCGGTCTTTCTGTGACCCCGAGGGTCCTGAGACCACACTGTCCCAGCGAGGGTTCTACCTCCTGCCTAGCCACTGGAGCGACGTCCCTCAGCGGAGCCGACTTCTAAAAGTTCCGATTTTGTGCTCCACTGCTCTATCACTTGCCGGTAGTGGGTGATGGAGGCCCCCTCCCCCCCATCTATCTTCCTGAATATCGCCTCGGATTCGCTTCTCCACACGTCCTGCCTTCCAGAAAGTGGTCACTTTTCTGTTCAGAGAGTTGCTACTATTCTTTTCTTCGATCTCCTGTTAAGTCTGTAGGTATTCTGAATGGTTTGATCCCTATCTAGCTGTATTCCTGGGACCAGATGAAATTTAGGTCTCCTACTTCTCTGCCATCTTGCACCTCCCCCCAACTTCTATTCATTTTCTGATAGCAGACTTTTAGAAATTCATATACCTTAACAGTCTAAGACCAGAGGATTGCAATACATAATTAGATGTATTTATTTACCACCCCAAATCAACAATCAGGACAATCAAAGCTAAAGGTGGTATAATAGAAGCTCCTACTACTATATAAATAATCTTTTCTGTCGTCTTTGATTTTGGTATATGTTCCTACTTAAACACATTCTTTATTTTGATTCATTGGTGTTTTATGACTGACTAAAAGCAACAGTGAGGCTCTACATTATTTTTGGCACTCCTTCACCCCCAAATAAAGCCATTTGTCACTCCTTCCAACTTTGCGTGGGTCTTATGAAAAGGTTTGACCCTTTTTATTTTATTATTTTTTTTAAGTAGGTTCCACGCTTGGCATGGAGCCCAATGTGGGGCTTGAATTGAAAACCCTGAGATCAAAACCTGAGCTGAGATCAAGAGTCTGGCATTTAACCAACTGAGCCTCCCAGGTGCCTCCACCTTTGACCTATTTTAGATGTTTGGATATGTGAGATCAATAGCTCTTGGAGATTATCAGTGCCACTACACTTTGATAAACAAGTTTAGAAGGCAGGGCATTGCAGTTAGAAGGTTTATGCAAGAGTTTTGGGAAAACAGGCAGGGACCAAAACCAGACAGATCACCATCAGTGTTTTGAGTGGGAGTGTTTGAAATGGGCTGGGATTGCCACCTGAGGAATCATTCAGGCAAGGTTTAATTGAAGGCCATGACTCAGTAGAATGGAGTCACAGTAGGGCCAAAGTATTAACAGGTTGCAACCCAATAGCTTAGCCTTCCCCAGGGAAGCTTGTGGTCATGATCAGAGAAGTTAGCAAGATATACTGAGAATTTCTTAAGGAACAGAAGACAGCCAGATAAGCTGAGTTCTAGCTCTGAAATAGTACTATGTATCAGTTCCTGTCAATTATTTTGATTAGCTATATTTAACTTGCCTTTTCTCTGTCTGGACAGGTACAAGTCTTCCATAGACAGCTTTGCTACTGTGTTGGTATTTCTAAGAATACTGAGGCAAATCAGCAGCTGTATCTTCAAACTCCCAGGACCTGAGCCATGTTTATGTGGGACAGTATTGCTCTGCCCAGAGACCTCAGCAGAAGCTCGCTCAGAAGCTAAGTCCTCTGATTTCCTTTTAGCCTAGCCTCCTTCATGGGACTTTTACTCCAGTTCCTCCTTACCCCTACATTCTGGGCCAAGGGCCAGGCTTATAAAACCCCAGACTTTGGATCAGGGTTTAGACATACATTGCCTATAAAAATGTCTCTGAATCGGCAATAATCTCCTGTGCAACTGTACTTGGCTTTAAAATGCTATATGTCTTTAGCAATTGCTCTTACTGGAACCAAATCTACTGAGGTTGGATTAGGGATGATATAAACATTCTCAACCAATGGAGGAAAATAATCTAGTAACATTTCTTTCACTGTCTCCTTGTCAAAGCTTTTAAAACTACTGACCTCTGATCTCAGGTTCCTAAGTGTTACTTGGGAAAGCTATATACTAGTGTGATTTGATTCTGCTGCAGTGTCGGGCTAAGTGATTCTCAACCCAGGGCATTTAGAAAAGAATCGGGTTATTTCCTTGGTTATCACAATGACAGGGGAGCAATCCTGGCATTGAATGGATGGAAGCCAGTGATGCTAAGCTTCCTACAATGCACACAACAGTCCTGCACAAAATTCCCACAACACACGCAGGACTGACAATACTTGTAGTGAGTGATCTCTAGTTGACTCCCAGCTGCATTTCCACTAGCGACTGTCCCAAACTATTTCTGTTCTTCTCAAAACCACTCAGTTACCACCCCCAGTTCATCTTCTTGTTTCCTCAGACTCTTCACTCAACAAAAACTTACTCAAATTCCCTCCTTCTTCCCTTTACTCCTCTCTCTGTGCCCACCCTGTTCTCCTTCCTGCCCCCTCAGAAAAAGGAATTTTTCACCTCCTTTCCAAGGATCACAACAACTCCACCCAAGCCTTCGGTCCCTTCCATCCCCTCACACCCCACCCCATCCCCAACTCTGTCTCTGTCTCTTGCATCTTTAATGCCTTGCCAGTCCTTTCCTCGCCTTAGAAAAGTACTTGAGTTTTTCTGTCCCAAAGATCAAATAAAAGCAAAGACAGAACTCTTAAACCAACTACTTACCCCTTAAATTAACATTCCACTTCATTTCTTCCACATAGGGCCCAGTGTCTATAAAGCATTTTAAGCACTCACTGGTTCTATTTCTTTACCATCTACTGGCTCCTAAAACCCTCATAAGGTAATTTCCACTCTCCTAATTCTGCTCTCCTGAAGGTTACTTCAATGGCCAGTTGCCAGACCACTCACTCTTCAAATTCCTTGGATTTCTTTACAGAATTAGATCCTTGATAAATCACTTATTAAAGATCATTACTCCCCACTTTTCTTCAGCTTGCCACTTGATTGGTCCCAATAAGAGTAGGGCCAGCCACACAAGATGAGGGTCTTCATTTTCCTGCACTCCCTTTTAGTATTTCCGTATTTCCCCTACTTGTATATGTCCAGAACTCTGGCTATCCTGTCTTTGGAGCTCCTTTTCCTCCTCCCTTTGCCATACACTGAATGCAGGTGTCAGCCACCCTCTACTCAGTGTCATTGGCCTTCTTCGCAACCAAGTGAATGATCCTCAAATCTACCAACATTCCTAGTCATAACGCCACTCTTCAACTTCAGGCCAGACTATTAGTTACCTGACAGATAATTCCACCTGGCTGGTCCACTACCACTCTCTAAATTTAAAATAATAAAATCTAAAACATTCTGGTGTGTTTCTTTTACAGCACTTTAAATTTGGTGATCATTTTTATAGGTGACTGTCTTCCCTACCAACCTAGGAACTCCTTGAAGACAAGGATGGTTTCTTATTTAATTTTGCCCTAATATGTGCTTCAGAAATGTTAATTGGATAGTAAGGAAACTGATGAGTGAGTGAAGACTTGAAGTTCCTTAGAAAATAGATGGTGTCTTTCATATTTGTGGTCCGGGGCCTGGGCTGGTGCTTAGCACAGAGTAGGTACTACACAAATACCTTTTGAGTGAATCTGCCTTCTCTTCTTCCAAGCCAGTACCTTCTAGTTTCTTTCCTATCAATGTCAATGATACTAGCATTTTCCTACTTACCCAAGTTACAAACCTCAGTATTCACTGACCCTTCCACAGTCACTAAATCCAATGAGTCTGGTAAGTCTCCCTCAAAGATTTTAAATATTCCCTTTTACAGGCATACCTTGTTTTACTGTGCTGTACTTTATTGCACTTTGCAGATATTGCGTTTTTTACAAATTGAACGTTTGTAGCAAACCTGTGTCCAGCAAGTCTGTGGGTGCCATTTTTCCAAGACCACATGCTCACTTTGTGTTTCTGTGTCACATTTTGGTAATTCTTGCAATATTTCAAACTTTTTCATTAATGTAATATTTGTTAGGGAAATCTGTGATCAGTGATCTTTGACGTTACCATTGTAATTGTGTTGGGGTATCACAGACCGTGCCCATATAAGACAACAAACTTAATAAATGTTGTGTGTGTTCTGACTGCCATTACCCTGTCTTTCTTCCTCTCCTTGGGCCTCTTTCTTCCCTGAGACACAGCAGTGTTGAAACTAGGCCGATTAGCAACCCTACAATGACCTCTAAGTGTTCACGTGAAAAGAAGAGTTGCCTGCCTCTCACTTTAAATCAAAAGCTAGAAATGATTCAGCTTAGTGAGGAAGGCATATCAAAAGCCAAGATAGGCTGAAAGTTAGGCCTCCTGTGCCAAACAGTTGACCGAGTTGCGAAGGCAAAGGAGAAGTTCTTGAAGGAAATTAAAAGTGATACCCCAGGGAATACATGAATGATAAGAAAGGGAAACAGTCTTATTGCTGATATGGAGAAAGTTTGAGTGGTCTGGATAGAAGATCAAACCAGCTACAACATTCCATTAAGCCAAAGCCTAATCCAGGGCAAGGCCCTAACTTTTTTCAATTCTATGAAGGCTAAGAAAGATGAGGAAGCTGCAGAGGAAATGTTGGAAGCCAGCATAGGTTAGTTCATGAGGTTTAAGGAAAGAAGCCAGCTCTATGACATGAAGTCCAAGATGAAGCAGCGGGTGCTGATGGAGAAGCTGTAGCAAGTTCTCCAGAAGATCCAGCTAAGATAATTCATGAAGGTGGCCTCACTAAACGATAGATTTTCTTTTTTTTTTTTTTAAAGATTTTATTTATTTATTTTACAGAGAGAGACAGTGAGAGAGGGAACACAAGCAGAGGGAGTGGGAGAGGAGAAGCAGGCTCCCCGCGGAGCAGGGAGCCCGATGTGAGGCTCGATCCCAGGACCCTAGGATCATGACCTGAGCTGAAGGCAGACGCCTAATGACTGAGCCACTCAGGTGTCCCTAAACAATAGATTTTCAGTGTAAATGGAACAGATTTCTATTAGAAGAAGATTCCATCTAAGACTTTTAGAGCTAGAAAGAAGTCAGTGCCTGGCTTCAAAGCTTCGAAGGACAGGCTGACTCTCTTGTTAGGGGCTAATGCAGCTGGTGATGTTAAGTTGAAGCCAATGCTCATTTGCCATTCTGAAAAGCCTGGAACCCTTAAGAATTATACTAAATTTACTCTGCCTGTGCTCTATAATGGAACAACAAAATCTGGATGACAGCACATCTGTTTACAACATGGTTGACTGAATATTTTAAGCCCACTGTTGAGACCCATTGTTCAGAAAAAAGTGCTTTAATTGCCATTGACAATGCACCTGGTCACCTAGGAGATCTGATGAACAATGAGATTAATGTTCTCATGCCTGCTAACACAACTTCCATTATGTAGCCCATGGAGCAAGGAGTATTAGACTTTTAAGTCTTAACATTTAAGAAATACATTTCATAAAGCTGTAGCTGTCATAGATAGTGACTCCTCTGATGGATCTGGGCAAAGTAAACTAACACCTTCTGGAAAAGACTCACCATTTTAGATGCCATTAGGCACATTTGTGATTCATGGGAAGAGGTCAAAAATATCAACATTATGAGGACTTTGGAAGAAGTTGATTACAGTTCTCATGGATGACTTAGAGGAGTTCAAGACTTTAGTGGAGGAAGTCACTGCAGATGTGGTGGGAATAGTGAGAGAACTAGAATTAGATGTGGAGCCTGAAGATGTGACTGAATTGCTGCAAGCTCATGATCAAACTTTCACAGGTGAGTTACTTCTTATAGATGAGCAAAGAAAATGGTTTTTTCAGATGGAATCTACTCCTGGTGAAGAGGCTGTGAAGATTATTGAAATGACAATAAAGGATTTAGAATATTATGTAAATTTAGTTGATAAAGCAGGGGTAGGGTTTGAGAGAGCTGATTCAATTTTGAAAGAAGTTCTACTGTGGGTAAAATGCTATCAAACATCATCGCAAGCTACAGAGAAATGGTTCATGAAAGGAAGAGTCAATACATGTGGTAGACTTCACTGTTGTCTTATTTTAAGAAAGTGCCACAGCCACCCTGACCTTCAGCAGCCACCACCTTGATCAGTCGACAGACATCAACATCAAGCCAAGGCCCTCCACCAGCAAAAAGATTAGGATTCATTGAAAGCTCAGATGATGGTTAGCAATTTTTAGCAATAAATTATTTTTTAATTAAGGTATGTACATTGTTTTTTTAGACAGAATGCTATTGCATACTTAATAGACTACCTACAGTGTAGTAGAGAGAATGGGAGAAAGGGCATTCCAAGCTCAGGGAACAGAGAGAATTTGCAAGTAGGGAATAAGAACAGATGAGTCTGAGGATGGGAGCTTTAGTCAGGAAATGGAGGGCCTCTTTGACACACTAAAGAGCTTAGACTTTACCATTCCCAATATACAATCTCTGCTTTCCCAACTCCATGTCTTGGATCTCAGTATTTGCTTTGGCATGTGTCTGTTTATCTTGTATTAATGTTGTTGGAGACCCTTTCTGGCACCATCAGCTCCTTGAACGAGAGGGAGTATGTTTTGTTCTCCCTCTATTATGTCCTTATATTCTTTCGTTCTGGGCACTAAGTGCATAGCAGATGCTCAATAAATATTTGTGACCCTTGGATCACTTTTTCAGATTTTCCATATCAATTTATAAGCTAGTATTTAGTAGTAAACAGAATACCTTTTTTTTTCAGAACATCTTTTTCAATAAGAAAATATCTTTAGTAAAGGAAATCATTAAAACTACTTTTTTTTGAGAGTTGTTTTGGGGCATTTAAAAATACCTTAAATTATTAAATTGTATAATTTGGGGTCTGTTTTTTATTGGTATTAGAATGAATTTTTGAGACTGGAAAGTAAAAGCTACTGGAGGAACAGTTAAAAATTTTTATTTAATTTGTGAGAATTATAAGGATTATGTTAAGATGTCTTAGTTTCTAAAAGTTTACTTTTTAAGTTAGTTTTATGTAGGTGGAAAGATTCAGTCAGCTGTTTTTTAATTGTGAATGTCATTTATGAATAGTTACGTAATTAAATAAAAGTATTTTAGGAAAATTTACATTTTTCAGGTTTCTAAATTTTTTTAGTTTTGTCTTAAAAACAAAACAAAACAAAACTTTTGCCCCCAAGAAATTAGTTTGCATCATAATGGAAGCATTTAGAAAAAGCAAGCCTTATATATTCTATTGCTCTTCAGTTTATTTCAGTGAATATTCAATATTTGAATAAAGTAACAAAGAATATTTCCTAAGAATGTAATAGCTCCTTAAATATTCAGCATTAAATCAAGTTTAATCTTGTGTGTGTGAGTCAGGCACAGTTCTAGATTTATGGCCATATATGTCTTTCCATAGGAGATGGTTATTTTGAAGCATGCACCACCTAAACCCACCCACATTTTAAATATTTAAGCAGATGTGATATATTCATTGATCTCTAAGGATGTTGCTAGATCTTCCAGTTCATCCTCACCCTCTCATCCTACCCCCTTTGTTATTTGTAGCATGTCCTAAAAAGAGCCATTTGCACTAGGGACTAAAATATTAATGTGTAATTCCAATTTAGTACTCATTAAAAAATTTCCCTAATCAGTTGGACTAACTAGCACCAATAGCATGGGTTGTTGAATTTAAACATCACTCCAGAATACAATGATTTTTAAAATAGTATGGCCATTATCAGTATTTGGATAATGGAATCTGTACTTGAAGAACCAAATCCTAGGAAATGTGTAGACCTAAGAAATGTTTTCTGATTCTGTTAACCAGAGAAGCATGTGGCCACCACATGGTCAGTAATACAGCCACTCACCAGCTCCCTCACACCACACACACACACACACACACACACACTGCTGCAATTTTCTTGAGAACAAAGAGCCTGTTTTGTCATTCTTCCTAATAAACTCATGTTTCCTATCAGTACCAGGGAACACCACACAAAGCACCTCTTTGAATGTCTTTGAGTGACTTCATGCTTAGATTGGTTCGTAAAGGGTTAAGGTTTTCTTTATATAACATCATTTTGTGGGTGTGCTCAATCACAAGGAAATCATGAAAGCTAGAATACATTCAATTTAAGATCTTTATTTTCTGGATAAGTAAAATTGGAGAAAAATCATATCCTTTCTTTGGGGCCATCTGGTAACCTAAGAAGGAAGGAGTAAATATGTTTCTAGTTGCTTTGAACAAACCCATATGCTGCCGGTCATTACTAATACCAGCCAATGAGAGTTGAATTTCACTAGTGTTTTCTGAGATGTGCTCTGATCATCTGTTGTTCCTATAGCTAGGTTCTGTGCAGATACATTTTCTTTCTTGTATTTTCATTTCATACTTTCCAAAGAATAATCAATTGATATGTTCTATTTTTTTCTCTAAAATTCACCAATAATAATTTAGCCAAAACAAACAGGAAATTCTTCTGGAAGTCTGATCTCTAATGAATTCTGAAACTAAGCTCAGCATATTAAAGGAAGTAATTAAGAAGGCACCCCATTGTGTTTAGATATGCTAGGTCAGCTAAAACGGGATTTTTCTATTTTTATGAGCTTTTGTCAAATTTAAAGCATGTTACATTTTAAAACAAAAATTTAAAAGAATTTGTTAGTAGCAATACTACTCTATAAATATATATTTTTAATTATTCTTCACGTCACTTAAAGATGACTTTTTGAAACAAATGGCCTAGATATGCCAGTAAAATACCTATTCAATTTGCAAAAAAATAATAAGAATAAACACCACAAGTATTTTCCAGTTAAGTGTGTGTGTGTGTGTGTGTGCACGCACAGGGCATATAACATACCAGCCACGTATTAACCATTAATTGTGAAACACTGTAGAGGTCATCTGGTTCATCACCTCACTTCAGAAAGGGCTGCTCCTATTATTACCCCTGGAACATGGTTAGCTAATGTTTTTCTTATCTCTTGCTCTTACACTTTGTTTTTGTTCATTGCAGTCTTAGTCATAACTAGCCTTTTTGTAGTGCTATTTGCCAAGCACTGCCGCACTTTTCACATATTGATTCCTGTAACCCTTAGAGCAACTCTCTTGAATATTCCTTTAAACTCCTTTGTTCTCTTGCTTCTCACTGAACTCAACTCTGACTTTAGATAGAATCTCCTCTCTTTCTTCTTATATTTTTATGTCCATACTTTCTTCTTACTTTTTTTCTTTTTCTGCCCTAGTCCCCTATTTGGGTCACTACTCTATCTTCTGCCATTTCCCCCCTCTTCTCTCCCCTTTTTCCAGCATGTTTACCTTTCCTAAAATCCTTAGCTGGCAGTCTTTTCAGGGCCCTGAGCTCTCAAGGTATGAGAGTGAGTGCTCAGCACTCCCAAGCCTGAGCCAAGCACTTGTTCCCATCTCTTTGAGGGCAGAAATCTAATGGGCTTGCAAGTAACACTTGCAATAAATGGTGCCCCGTGCCAGTTTAGGTCCAGAGATAATCACTCAGTCAGTTAGATTGCTATTCAGATTTGCCATTTTGTGAGAAATAAAAGCCCACCCTCTCTGATGAGTATTTCAAGTACGTTCTTCCCAGAAAAGATCTTTTAGAGCAGTGCTTAAGCAATTTTGAGCTTGCATCAGTCACCTGGAGGGCTTGTTAAAACAGATTGCTAAGTGCACCCCCTTCTGCAGTGGAAATTGGACATTTGCAATTCTGACTGACTATGCAGATGCTGCCTGCCCACAGGTCACTGTTGGAGGAGCCCTGCTTTGCAGTTCTTTTCATTTTTCTAATCTCTAACTTAAATGATTCTGGCTTCACTCCAAGGTTATATGTATTATATTTACATCAGTGATGTAATTTCACATCAGCCCTATTAAAGATCCTTGTAGGAGGTAGCATCTAAGCCCAAGCACCGTGTCCTGCATGTAGAAGGACCTCATTAGCATATTTTGAGTTATTATCAGTTCATTCAATGAGCATTATTTTTTAGAAGTCTAACTGACCTACCGAGGGTCTTTCAGCACTTATTAATTCACTTATTCCTCCTCACAACCTAATGATACTGGGCAGGAGGTACAGCACACAGTGAAGAAATAATTTACCCAAGGTCATGGTAGTCCAGCCAGGATTCAGCCAGGCAGTGTAGCTCCCAGATCTGTGCTTTTGATGATGACACTACATTACCTTACCTCTCAGAGCAGTGCCCATTCACAGTCTTCATCTCTGCCGCGAGGTGACACTCTCCCTTGCATTATTTCTTTTGGCAGAGTCAGACATTTTTGCTTCCAAGATATAATGGGATGTGTGGTGCATGTGGGCTTGAGGCTTCACCTTCTTCTAGCTCTAATACACTTAAAGCGATTGATATTTAAAAAATATGAGTCAATCTTGGCCAACATTTCATCCTTTGAGCTTTTTGAAACAAATGGCCTAGATATGCCAGTAAAATACCTATTCAATTTGCAAAAAAATAATAAGCTACTAAAGGACCTCACATTATTCTCTTGTCACACGTGGCCCTGGATTGTTACAGAAGACTGGTCTACATCCTGTAGGGCAGAAATATCTGTTCAGGAAGTCAGGAAATAGATAAAAGAAGTCTGGGGAGAATTCTGTATCCCCTGACATTCATGAGAGGACTTTTCTTTTTGAAAATAATTGCATTAATTATAAAAGTATGATTAATAACAGTTCTTACATAATGTTCAATCTCTTCATTAAGCCCATATCCCACCTGGTTATATGTAGAAGGAAAAAATGGGTCAAATTTATATATGTATATATATTTTAAAGATTTTATTTATTTATTTGACAGAGAGAGAGAGCACAAGTAGACAGAGTGGCAGGCAGAGGGAGAGGGAGAAGCAGGCTCTCCGATGAGCAGTGAGCCTGATGCGGGGCTCAATCCTAGGACCCTGGGATCGTGACCTGAGCTGAAGGCAGCCGCTTAACCGACTGAGCCACCCAGACACCCCAGGTCAAATTTATATTGACAGTCATTAACTTACAAAGGAAATAGTAACCTAGGCAGGTTCTCTTATTTAAAATTAATCGTTGCTTAAAATAACACATTTAGAAATTGCTCTTAAACATGGATTTTATTCATTTGAGTAATAACAAATGTATTTTTTTAAAGATTTTATGTATTTGTTTGAGAGAGAGAGAGAGTGCACAAGCCTGCAGGAGCAGGGGGGCAGGGGCAGAGGCAGAGGGAGAGGGACAAGCAGACTCCCAGCTGAGTATGGAGCCCTACTTGGCTGGATTCCAGGACCCTGAGAGCATGACCTAAGCTGAAATCAGATACTTAACCGAGAAGCCACCCAGGCACCCCATGAATGTGTTCAGTACTATGTAAAATTGGTAGCTGAAATTGCACAGTGGAAAAACAAAATCAAAGCCTAGTTGTTTCAATTCCTCAAGGTAAAAAGTCTAAGAGGAAATAATAATCCTCCCTGATACCAGTCTGGTGATTAACATAATATATGCTACAAAATGAACATATGAAGAAAATGAAAAATTGTTTTAAAACATTGACCATCAAGCTATCTTCTGTCAGTCTTAATGCTAGGACAAATATTGAATGTGTAAATTCTTTTATCAGTGCCTATATAATCAATCATGATATTTATTCTATATCCTTAATAATTTTATTGCTTTTATACATCCTTGCATAATTGCAATTATATTCATTTTTTCCACATTATTATTCAAGAAACTAACAAAAACAATATTTAAAATACCATAAGGAAAATATTTCGTTACTAGATG